CACAACATAAGCAAACCACCAGGGAAACTCAAGCAAAGTCTATCATGCAACTTAAGCGTAGTTCACTCATAAGTATTTAGGCTTAAACCTCACCCGGCTATGCATCCACAAATTATCAAACTCAGCTCAGTTCTATGATCAACATTGAAACCTGCATGCAACTAGTCATGAACTAAAGATCTAACGTGACTTGAAAATGTCTAAGGTACACGCACCACAAACATCAAGCAAACCACAATAGGGTCCTGGCAGGGCCATTGACAGCAGATACATCTCTGCCTATTGCCAGGACCGCGCTCCACCAACAGTCCCTGCCCCCGAGCCTATTCATGCTGCTGGGCCCCAGGAGGACGTGCCTATGGATGAGATGCTGTTGTCCCAAACCCTCCACTCACTATCCATCAGCGTTTTGACGCCTTGGAGGGTCGCATGGCCACATTCATGTAGCGCCAGGAGGACCGCCTGGATACTTTTATGCAGAGGCACGAGGGCCAGATGGAGTCTCTCCACCGTGGACATACCTTCATGTTTGATGCATTCAGGAGTTTCATGCTGCACTCTGCCCCTGATTACCAGTTCCCCACCACTGCTGATTATCATTCTTTTTATTTATTTGTGTAGTTTTAATTAAAAATATAAAAAAAGTATTTAAAATAATATGAAAATATTAAAAAATAAAAAAATATATAAAAAAGTGGTGTCGTTATGGGCCATAGCAATACAATGTCACTATAGCCCATAGCGCCTTTAGATAAAATATTATTTTAACAATAAAAAATATATATTAATTATATTTTTTAAATAAGGATATAGTCTAAGCGACTTTGCAAAAATCGCTACAGCCTATAACAATTTTTCCTGATTAAATTTTAGCTGTTCGTAATTATCAAAAAAAAAGTTCACATGTCATTGGTGTTGTTATAGCCCATAACAACACTATAGTAAAATACTCCAAAAGTATAAATAATTTTAAAATAGCCCAATTTATATAAATAATTTTGAAAAATATCCTAAATCGGTCAATCAGCCGTTTTGACATGTATGATCAACATCACAGAATTCGAAAAAGTAATGCGGAAAAAAATTTACTTTGGGAATGAAATATAAAAAAAAAATATGATATTTTAATGGAATCTGAAACTCCTCCAGTTATTTGGGCAAGTTTAAAAAATGAGCCCAACTCCTCAGCACAATAGATACTGGGTTGTAACTTTTCTTCTTAAATTCATTGAAAAGGACAAAACGCAAGTTACAAAATCAATAGGAATTTTGACGGCTAAACGACCACTGTAGCGCATTTTTTAAAATTTATTACCAAAATAATGCTATTTTCAAACAATTTACACCTTTGGGACTCTTTTATTGGGTGTCGGCATGGGCCATAGCGACACCCATGACACGTGGGTTTTTTTTTTTTAGGCTTGATTGGGCTGGACCAGTGTCGCTATAGG